AAAATTCTGCTTAGGGCCCCATAAAGGCTTGGGCCGGCCCTGCATTGGTAGGTGCATATATTGTTTATGTAACCATAAACGCATTGTATTAACAGCCTTGCAGATCAGTTACCAACACTTGTACCACACAAAAATTACAAATTGTTTATTTCCTTAAACCATACACTCACTGGCCACTTTATTAGGTACACCTTTTATATATATATTATATATATATATACACTGTAAATGCTATCAGTTTAATAAAACTGGTGTGTGTGTGAATCAAAAGCATTTGCATGTACATTATCAGTTGTAAGCAGTGAGGGAAAACAACTATTTTATTTTTAAATAACAAAAATACTTAATGTAAATTTGTATGTTTTTGTAGACTGAGCTTATCAGAAAGCCTAGGAAATAGAACTGTAAACCTTGCTCTGATAAACTAACTTTACACTAAGTGAAAATGTTCTGTTTGCTGAGCTGGGCCTGTAAGGAGGATGAGAGCTGCAAAAAGCATACAATTGTAAAATTATCTAATTTAAAATTATCTTCTACTTCTTGTAGGTTTCTGAAAAGTCCTGCTGCACAGGAAGCATGTGATCATCTCACTAAAGTTCTGGGTACAAGTCCATTACTTCTGACAGAACTGGATCTGAGTAAAGATAAATTAGGAGATCTGGATGGAGAGAAACTCTCTGCTCTTTTGATGGACTCTCATAGCAAACTGGAGAAAATGAAGTGAGTGAACATTTATACATTATATCTTCTGTGATTAATTACTACTAATGACTGTCAGTTATGTGCATAAGCAGACATGAAGACCAGTTGATCTGATGAGTGTTAAATATTTTTTAAAGTACATTTTGCTGAAGTACAATAACATAAAAAAGGCTGTTTTTCTGTGTTTAGGCTGAATAATTGTGAGCTGACAGAGAAAAGCTGTTCAGTTCTAGCTACTGTTCTCTCCTCCAAAACCATCCTGAAAGAGATGAACCTGAACAACAGTCGTCTGCTGGACTCAGGAGTCAAAGAGATCTGTGAGGGACTGAAGAATCCTGTGTGTGAGCTGAAGATACTCAAGTGAGTACATTTCACCATCAGCTACACTCAACACCAAAGCAACCACAGGAATATGACATATTTGATGACATTATTGTATTTTTGTATTATTTTCAGGCTCAGTAACTGTGATCTAAATGAGGAAAGCTGTTCAGCTCTAAGCTCAGTTCTCAGTTCAGACTCCAGCAGTTTGAAGGATCTTGACCTGAGCAATAATAATCTGCATGATTCAGGAGTGAAGCTGCTCTCTGATGGACTGAAAGGGAACTGTAAACTAAAGAAACTCAGGTGAATTGATGTGTAACATATTAAAGGTCTCTGGGCCTGTTGTTTGCATCCATATTTAGCCATCTGTTTTGTATGGATTAATTTTGTTCAGAACATTTGTGGAGTAACTGATTAATCAGATACATTTTTACATTTTCATTCCCTTTCTAGACTTTCAGACTGCAGTATCACTGAAGAAGGTTATAAAGCTCTGGCTTCAGCTCTGAGATCAAACCCTTCACACCTGATAGAGCTGGATCTCACAGGAAATGATCCTGGACAATCAGGAGTGAAGCAGCTCAGTGATTTACTACAGGATCCAAACTGTCAACTGAAGACACTGAGGTGAGATGTAATGAAATAATACAAAATGAATTACATGCATGCAAAGAATTTATATAAATATTATTTCACGAATATAAAATAAACCATTTCACATGCAGAATCATAGGCTTTTTTCATTAGATCAAGTTTATGTATAAATTTAATTGAATACTGCTTCATCTTTTCTGCAGGTTTTTGGGTCCTGCTGCAGGTGAAGCCTGTAAATATCTGAATGAAGTTCTTCAGTTTAAAAACCCGTTACTCCTGAGAAAGCTGAATCTGAGTGGACGTGAACTAGGAGACACACGAGTGAATCAGATCTCTGCTCTACTGCAGGATAAACACTGTAAACTCAGCACACTGATGTGAGTATTCCACATGGTTAATAATGCTTTACAAAAAATGTTGTTACATTTTTACAGTCAATGAAACACTGTTATTGTTGTTCTATAAAATATTTAAGGACTGAGATTAATTGACCTATGATATAAATGTATCCTTCTGTTACTTTATTAGTTTCATGTCTTTGTTTCTTTCTCTCCAGGTTGAAGAATAACAGTATTACAGAAGAAGGTTGTGCTACTCTAATTTCAGCTTTTAATTCAAATCCTTCAAACCTGATAGAGCTGGATCTGAGTGGAAATAAATTAGGATGCCTAGGAATGGAGAAAATCTGTCTTTTGTTGAAAAATCCTCAATGCAAATTTGAGAAACTGAAGTATGTATTTTCATTTATGTACTTTTCTGTATGTTTATATACATTTATTCATGTTTATTTAATTAGCTTAACTGTAAAAATTAAGACCACAATTTTAGTTGTACTTTTATCTAATTTAGAGTATGACTGAGGCTCATATTCTTTTTTGAAAGTACATGAGGACAGCATTTATTAATGATGGAATTGCATTACTGGGATTTTTGCCAATATTAAAATAAAAACATTATATTGGCATACATTTTTGCACTTTATGGCAATAATTTGTTCATAATTTGTCTATTTAGGTTGTCAGAAGCCGTTCATAAATCCCGTTAGTGATATGATAATATATGTACCCCATTAGTGATATGATAATATATATCTCCAAAAAGAATAACAATTTTTTTTTTTTTTTTTGGACTTTCAGACTGCAGTATC